AAGAAAGGGTCCTCTGCTCTGTGCTGGTATTCGGGCCGGGTGGTGTTCGGCAGGGTGGGAGCCTGCACACTACTTGCCGTCTGTGCTCTTGTGCTTGCTCAGGAAGATGTGAGTGTGATTTACACAGCCCAGGTGAGCCCAGCACCGAGGTCTGGACCGTGTCCCACGACACGGCAGAGAGGCGCCTTCAGCCCTGCCTGCCAGCTGGGCAAAACGCTGCCCTGATGGCCCTGTGTTTTGTACCTCCCCACCCCCCTTGCTCCCCTCCCCAGGGGACCAACTTCTGGCTATATCGCATCCCTTGCTACCCTACCCCAGGCCCATTGGGCTGCTCTAACCAGAGAGCAAAGGGGAGATTTCCACTCCTCCAAGAGAGCTCAGCCCCCCTGCCCCCCACGGCCACCAAAGGGAGCTCTTCATACGCCCGGGGTAAAGACCCAGGGTGTCCTCTCCTCTGAGACCCCAGGACGCGCGGAGGAGTGCATGGGAGGAGGGGGTCTCCCCCCTCCAGTCCTGCGCCCACCAAACACACTGTGATCATTGGGGCAGTGTTTGGGGCCAGAAAGAGCTGATGCTCTTGAGAGGTAGAAAGATCGCATCGTGGGCAGGACAGCTGTAAGGAGGAAAATGAAGAGGCCTCAGCAACCGTCTGTGACTAAGGAATAGATTTATCGGCTGTGATAAGCATGCAGACACCCCCCCCCGCCTCTCCCAAGCAGTCGTGTCGGACGAACAGGATAGCCCCCGGGTGATTCCCAGCGCACGTGGCAGCTGGCCCCGCAGACAGGCGGCGCGGGACAGCACGGAGGGGTGCCTCCCTGCCCTGGGAGCTGGCGTTTGCTCTCCTTTCCAACAGCCTGCGTTGGTTTAATGGTAAATTAAGGCCTTCTTGTAGTCATACTGGTTCTCATGCAGTTTCAAGCCTCATCAAAGTTCGCAAGGGCAGTATATGAATTTGTGCGTACATGAAGTACAAACCAAAGTGCTGCTTAAGGCGCAGAGCCCACGGCCTGCAGCCTGGCCTGTTTCCGTGCCAGCCTGCTCAGCAGCTTGCCGCCAGGTTGCTTGATGGTGTGCCTTGAAGCTGAGCTTGTGACCCAAAAATCGCCCGACTTTACTGGACTCAGTGAATCGAGGTGGGTTGTCCGCTAGCCAAAATGCAATATCTCCAGGGCTGAATGTGGCCTACTGATAAGGTCGCAAAGGTAAAACTGGCAGCACAGCGAATGGATTCACAAGGGACTGGACGCAAGCTTGAGCAGCTCAAGCTACCAGAAGGGACCTGTCCCTGACCCAGCAGTCCAGCTCCCAAAGCCCTGAGGACCCAGGCGCTCCAGGCTGCCCTCTGGGACATCTCAGGTAGATGTTTGACACAGTGGAAGGAGCCAGCCTGAGCCCTGCTTGCTACGTCGCCTCCCCTTAGCCCCGGATGCCAGGGGCTCGCCCAGCGCTCGGGGCCCGCAGGAAAGGATCGAGGGAGGCAGCAGTCCACACATAACCGTTTCATTAGCTTGGCCTTGTCCCTCTGCTCTGCGTGGTCTTGGCTGGCTCCCAAATCCACTTTTCCAGCCAGGGACCAAGGTGCTGGCGACCCTGCAGGCAGAAAGCGCTGCCTGAGCGCCTTGGTCCCAAGCGGAGCAAAGGTTTTTTGTTGTTGTTGTTGTTGTTTTTTGAACACGTGCTGGGTTCCTATGGAGGGGGACGGGGAGGCTGTTTTGCTTCCTCTCCTCTCCGCCTCCACTCTGCTTGTTCTTTGCGGCCGCGTGTTTAAAGACAACGCAACCCCCTTCCTCTCACACGCGACACGCAGGCAGCAGCGGTTTCGCGACCGCTCGCGGCGGGCCAGTTCAGCTGTTCAGGGGGAAAGACGCAGCACGGGCCCCGCAACCTGGCACACGCAGCAGCCTGCAAGGAGCTCCTGCAGGTCTCTTTCCCGCAGATGGGGAAAAACGACCAAAACGTCCCTACGTGCGCCACGAGAGCGCCTTCCTTCCAGGTACCCCGGCGCAGCAGTCCTCACGCCAGGGTTAATCATCGCTAGCCCCCTCTCCCTGACAGATCTTCTCCAGCCACAGAGAGCGAGTTAAACCAAATTGGCAGCCCTGGAGAGCTTGGAGAACATCTCATTGCATCCTGATGGGGAAAGACATGCAGAAAAGCCGCGTGTTTCAGATCTGCCTGCGCTGAGACCGGCTCCATCCCGCGAGACGCTGCGCTTGCTCTGTCCCATGAAGTTAACCATGTAACAGCGTCTTTGGGGTTGAAGTTGAGCGAGGCAGCTCAGTGCTCTGCTCTCTCCCAGCCTCTCCTGTCCTCAGGCTCTCTCTGACGTGGGAGAGCCACCTACCCAAAGCGAGAGTTTTCTCTGCAAGCCAAAGCGCTTGCTGCCTCCTTCTGTCTCCTGCCTGCAGTGAGCTGGAAAGCTGTCGAGTATGTGGAGTATCTGGAGTATATATTGCCCCTAGATCCCAGTGCTCATCCTTCATACACAGCTCCAGGAGCTACTGGCATGTCTCGGAGCACTCGAGACCAGAAGGGAGGCATTATTGAGTCTTATTTTTTTCCGGCTGAAGGACATAACATGATTTTCTCTCACACTAGAGGTGACTGAGACAAAATCCTTGAGCAGTGCCGCTGGGTAGCAGAGTCTGCTCAGGGTGTCTCTCCAGGGGACACTCCTCTCTAACCCACAGCGGTCGGAGGGGAAATATCTCTGTTATGTCTCCTCCCAGCACAAAGGGCCAGATTACACAAATCAACCCGGAAAGAACAGGGCCAAGGCTGAGCGAGAGCGGGCAGGTCCCTTCTTTCCATCCATAGTGTGGGACCTCCTCGCAGTAGCAGGTACGCCACGGCCCTCTGTGAAGGAACCGGCACGAGATAACAGTTTGAGCCCTCTCCACGTGTCTTTCCAGGCTTTATCTGGTTGCTTTTCACCTCCTGTAGCTTGCCTGGGAAATGGGCTGGATATAGCTGACCTAAGGGAGAGCTCCTGGTAGTTAAGGAACAGAGACAGAAGATGCTTTTTGACCCCACATTGCCTCCAGAACAGCTACTGAGACACGGTATCATTTAACTGACATCTGGCTCCGACTTTGGATTTTCCCTAGAACCCACTTCAAGGCAAATCCCATCTCAGCCACGCCTAATCCATAGCCCACCCTAGTCTGGAAATGTCAGTGTGAGCTGACTTGCAGGCTGCAGCCAGGGTTGCCTCCTTCTCCACCTTCCTATCACTTCCTCCCAAGTGCCTCAGGGAAACAATGAAAAGTTTGGGTTGGTTTGTTTTTTGTTTTTGCTTTTTTCATCATCTTTCCAATGCCAAGTGTGCAAAGTTTGAAATGAAAAGAAGAGCAAAAGCCTCACGTATCTCCCGGATGTTCCAGGTCACAAAAACTTTTTCAGAAAGACCGTCAGGGAGCTCCAAGCCAAAGATAGAGTGGAAAGGTTGTAACCAGGGAAAAGCTGGCTTTGCTAGCAGTTCACTTGTCTTCAGTTGAAAGGTTGGCAGATCCGAAGCCTGGGCTCTCACCCAAAAGTTCAGGCTGTGCTCTTCCAACTCCTCACCACATGAGCAGGAAGGAGGAACCTCTCCAGGGACTGAAGATGAGTCAAAGCAAGTTGTTAGGAAGCTTTCCAGGAAAGACTTAGAGATGTGTCGAGATAGGGTCATTGAGGGAGAGATACTCAAGAAACCTGAGCACGTGGAGGTCCTTGCAACCTAAACCCAGCTCCATCCTTGGTCCAAGGAGACACTGCATTTAACCAGATTTATTCTGGCCCAGATAATAGTGACTCAGGAGGGGCAGGATGCTTTCCCAAGGTTTTCCCATGCAGCCCTTTCAATTCTTCTACGAAACAGGGATGACGGCAGCACTTCACCTGCCATGGGAGAGGAGAGGATCTGGGCTTTAAACATCTTCAAGCACCCCAGCACTGCACACCACAAGCTTTGCTGCTGGGGCAAGAGCGCAGGCGGGTGCAGAGATGGGTTTGGAGAGCAATTCAGTGCACACGGACCAAAAAGGGGAGGCTGGTGTGAATGTTGCAGGCCTGGTGCCAACCGCTTTCTGCTCATTAAAGCCACAAGCTGGGTGGGAGCTGGTAGAATTGCACTGTTTAAAAAAGAGCAGATGGGCAATCAGAATTGGGTCCTCCATCTGATTTTGTCTCACAAATACAACCTTTTAGGAAGGTACATTTATCCCCTTTATAACTGCTGTACACAGCCTCTCGGCGGCGTTGAGACACTCCATGTGCTGCACCCGTTTCTTCCGATGCCAGCAGTGAGATTTTTCTCTCTCCCTTCTCCTCCTTCATCCTCATTCTCCTATTTTCACCCTTACATCTTTGGAGGAGAGCATCCCTCATAGCATGTACGTGCAGCACCTTCAACACAAAGATAAACACACGCCACAACAATCAAAGCAACCCACTCCCGCCTCTGCCTAGGAGATACACCGCAGCGAACGGCTGTGGTTCACTGTTTGCCATGAGCTCAGCAAATGCCTGCTCTGCCCCGTGCACAGCCTGACGCTGGAGCGCGATCACCTATTCCCTGTCTCCTTGTGGCAGCTCCTGCCATGTTCCCGGAGCGAGGAGACTCATTCCTACCAGCTTCTCACGTGGGCCAGACACATACATGTCACCTCTGGCATCTGGCGGGGGCTGGATATGGAAATACTGAGGTATGTTAAAAAAATCAGCAAGCTTGTTTCTGCCTGCCTTCCGGTCGGTATTGCAGGAGCTGCTGATAGTTCATTTATCAGATAAGCCTCCAAAAGTCCCCGCTGTATCTCCACTCGCTGGGATTCAAGGCTCACTCCTGTTTAAAGGAAGATAGATGCTTTCACTGATCACAGAAGAAACAAGTTTTTCCAGGATGCGGTAAAATAGTAAGCTGAAATTTAGAGGCGATAGAAGGTGGTGCAGTATGGAGGTGTTTCAACTATGTTTGACTTTTGAACGCCTAACAGTTTGCCAGTGGAGCTGGGCTCTGCTCCTGGGCAAACTGAAGCCTTTTTGCTAATGGACTCAGTTTTCTCAGCCAGGAGTTTTCTCGCTCCTTAGACATAGTCCCTCAAAGACATTCCCACATGTCCCCCAAAAACCAGTGTCCCATGTTTACTATCATTCACACAGCTATATGCAAATATACCAGGCTCGCAAAATTGCTAAGCTGCAGCTCTGGGTAGGCCTGAAGGGCTGTCTAAATTTTGCACATCTGGAATAAGCCTAGGGTGATGGTGATGCACAATCCAGCTGCTGAGGATGCTCATCACTCAGGCAAGTGATTATGAAGTTAGTTCATTTTCATCAGCCCATAAACCATGCAAGAGTGGAATAGGGAGGAGAGGGGAATTCATTGTTTTTTTTTTTTTCTGGAGAAGAGACTTTTCGTTATAACTCGCCATATTTATTTAGCACTAGGGCTAGGCTTCTTTCATCTGGTTAAAGCGTGGGAGAAGACTGAATACATGTCTCCATTTTAAAGCTGGGGAACGGAAACGTGATTTTGAGTGGCTACGATTGCCATGTGGAGCCAGGAATGAAGACACGGTCTCTGCTGGGGGCCCTTCACCACCTTTTCTCTCGGTTATACAGCGGTTCTTTCACTCTCTTGTCCGTTACTGTCCTGTTCCCACTCACACAGCCAGCCGTGATGGGCTGGTTCGCAGCAAGAGCAGCCCTGGCGCAGGCTTGGAGGTCACCGTAGCTCCTGGACTCTTCTCCAATCACCTGCAAGGACTGCGATGCTCCAGAAGGCTGTGAAATTTGGGGGGTGGGGGGGGGGTTTATCCCAGATCAGACAGACACCTGTTAAAAACGACTTTGCAAGACCAGGGGAAGGACCAGGACTCTTCTTGCGGATGCTCCGGTCTCTGGGCGCTTTGCAAGCCAGGATGTGGGGCATCCGCTCTGCCAGGCGCGCAGGACCCGGGATGAGGCTGGAGTGCTGCAGACGGGATTTAGCCCTCGGTTTTGGGAAGCCATAAACCTGTTTCCGTACAGCGCACCCAGCCACACCTGCATGCAGCGGGGAGGACTTCAGACACACGCTGTGGCGAGGCTGCCCTCTGGTGACACTTTTTTTCTTTTGCTCTAGAAATCAGTGCAGCTGTCTGCGAAAAATAGAAATGCAACTGTTGACGAGAAATAAAAACCCAGCAGAAATAGAGAATACAAATGTAGGTGCCGTAAGCTGGCTTAGTCTGAATCCTTTCCCAGGTATCAGCTGGGTCACAGCCACGGCCCGGCTGTCCCCACGCGCACAGCTCATGCTGTGCCTAGAGCACCAGGAGCTTTAGGAGGCGTTAGCAGCTGTTAGACCCAGCCTGGCAGCCCTCAGCGGCGTCAGCTGGAGACTTAAACCTGGCCTTTGCACACCGAGGTGCCGGGTGGGAATTACGGCTCTCCCCGGTGTAGCTCTCACAGCCGCTGACCCCCACAGCCCATTCTCGCCGGTCCCGGCGAAGGGCTGCTGCCAAGGAGGAGCCGGCCGAGGGGAAGGGGAGACGGCGCCCGACGGCGCGTTGCAGGTTTGGAGGCGTGAAACGGGCGCCGATCAGCGCTCGCGAGTCAGGGGAGCCCTCTCGCGGCTGCGCCCCTGCGGTTGGCCTTTCGGTCGCGTCGGGAAGGGTTTGTATCAGGGCGATGTGCTTTGCGCCTCGCTCCGCTCCCCCGTTTGCTGAGGCAGCCCCGAACCCCGCTCCAGGTCAAGCCCAGGGCTTTTTCTCGTGCAGATTTACGGCAAGCAAAACACAACACCAAGCCTGAATCTCGGTTTCCGAACCTTCGCAGCTAAGACATTTTCACCGATCGTCCTAGGAGACGATTTGGCAGGACGCAAGCCCGGTGCCCAGCGGCTTTTCTGAGAGAGATTTGTTCCTGCCTGCTGGGCTTAGTTTAAAAGGAAAACTAATCAAATTGCTTGTTTTCAACCACAAAAAGAAATACTCGTGCATGTTGTGCCAACTTCTGCTCTGCCCTGCCGTGGTTTTGCCCCACTGAAGCACAGGGATTATATGTTGCTGC